AAACTTAATTAATAAAACTTAATTTAACACGGTCATTTGTACAGGTGATTGTCTTGGGCAGCTCGCCATTATGAAAATTTATCTTTACATGCATTAAAGTTTAAAAAAAAAAAAAAAGTTAAATTAAAGAAAAACGAAAAACATAAATTAAAAATAAAAAATTCGTCCAGTTATTTACACTAAGTAGAGTGGAACACGTGCCAATCTCTCAGGAAGTCCAGTATTTTCAACAACATCTGTTGGGGATTCTGTGGAGAGAATAGACGAAAAAACCCAGTGTTACAGGCGAGGTCAAAACATACACGGGCATGCTTATGTGCCTACACAGGCACAAATGCACACACTCACACACATACGCATGTACACACACACACTTACATACACACACACACACACAGACACATCATGCTTATGTGCCTATACAGGCACGCACACAAGCACACACACAAACACCCACACTTACATGCACCCCCCCCCCACACACACACACATACACACACACACACACACACACACAGGCATACACATTTACATACACATTTACATACACACCTACACAAAAGGGTAACAGAAGAGTTTCTGATACAAAAGTAGCAGGAGTTTCTGATACAAAAGTAACAGAGGAGTTTCTGATACAAAAGTAACAGGAGTTTCTGATACAAAAGTAACAGAGGAGTTTCTGATACAAAAGTAACAGAGAAGTTTCTGATACAAAAGTAACAGAGAAGTTTCTGATACAAAAGTAACAGAGGAGTTACTGATACAAAAGTAACAGAGAAGTTTATGATACAAAGGTAACAGAGGAAGTAACAGTATATGATACAAAAGTAACAGAGGAAGTAACAGTTTATGATACAAAAGTAACAGAGGAAGTAACAGTTTATGATACAAAAGTAACAGAGGAAGTAACAGTTTATGATACAAAAGTAACAGAGGAAGTAACAGTTTATGATACAAAAGTAACAGAGGAAGTAACAGTTTATGATACAAAGGTAACAGAGGAAGTAACAGTTTATGATACAAAGGTAACAGAGGAAGTAACAGTTTATGATACAAAGGTAACAAAGGAAGTAACAGTTTATGATACAAAAGTAACAGAGGAAGTAACAGTTTATGATACAAAAGTAACAGTTTATGATACAAAAGTAACAGTTTATGATACAAAAGTAACAGTTTATGATACAAAAGTAACAGTTTATGATACAACTGCCAGTAACAAAGGAGTTTCTGATACACAACAACAACAACATAACAACAACAACAACATAACAACAACTACTTCAACAGCAGCAACAAAAACAAAAACAACAGCTAAAACAGTGACAGTATTCAAAGCTAACAGTACGAAAACTCTGTGCCAACTCACATTTCTACGTGTCGAAGGCTTCCAGCCACGTGTTAGTTTCCGCCAGAATCTCGTAGGTCTTGTCAAGAGTTTCCGCCATGAACCTCGCGTCTGCCTCCGATAGCTCGTTGCCAGGGAGAAGGTAAGGGCTGCATCCTGCCGCGCCAAACTGCCGGTTCGCAGACCAATGCGCTCTGTGTCCCATGGTGCCAAAGTGCTGGTTGGTAGAGAGGTGACGATCGGAGCCTCTTGCGCCAAATTTCTGGTTATCAGAGAGGTGACGGTTTGACCCAATAACGCCAAACTGCTGGTTACCAGAGAGGTGACGGTTTGACCCAATAACGCCAAACTGCTGGTTATCAGAGAGGTGACGGTTTGACCCAATAACGCCAAACTGCTGGTTATCAGAGAGGTGACGGTTTGACCCAATAACGCCAAACTGCTGGTTATCAGAGAGGTGACGGTTTGACCCAATAACGCCAAACTGCTGGTTATCAGAGAGGTGACGGTTTGACCCAATAACGCCAAACTGCTGGTTATCAGAGAGGTGACGGTTTGACCCAATAACGCCAAACTGCTGGTTATCATGGAGGTGTGGACTGTTCCCCGGCGCACCAAACTGCCGGTTGGTTGAGTGATGCGACGCGTGTCCCATGGCCCCAAAGTGCTGATAATCATGGAGGTTTTGGCGGTCGCCATTGGCGCCAAAGAGCTGGTTATGAGGGAGGTGTGAACTGTGTCCTATAGAACCAAACTGCTGGTTTTCATGGAGGTTTGAGCTGATGCCATTCTCGCTAAACTGCTGGCTTTCATGAAGGTGTGAGCTCATTCCATTCTCACCAAACAGCTGGTTTTCATGAAGGTGTGAGCTCATTCCATTCTCGCCAAACAACTGGTTTTCATGGAGGTTTGAGCTGACACCATTCTCGCCAAACAGCTGGTATTCATGGAGGTTTGAGCTGATGCCATTCGCGCAACAGTGCTGGCTTTCAGGGAGGTGTGAGCTCATTCCATTCTCGCCTAACTGCTGGTATTCATGGAGGTTTGAGCTGATGACATTCGCGCAACAGTGCTGGCTTTCAGGGAGGTGTGAGCTCATTCCATTCTCGCCTAACTGCTGGTATTCATGGAGGTTTGAGCTGATGACATTCGCGCAACAGTGCTGGCTTTCAGGGAGGTGTGAGCTCATTCCATTCTCGCCTAACTGCTGGTATTCATGGAGGTTTGAGCTGATGACATTCGCGCAACAGTGCTGGCTTTCAGGGAGGTGTGAGCTCATTCCATTCTCGCCTAACTGCTGGTATTCATGGAGGTTTGAGCTGATGACATTCGCGCAACAGTGCTGGCTTTCATGAAGGTGTGAGCTCATTCCATTCTCGCCAAACAGCTGGTTTTCATGGAGGTTTGAGCTGATGCCATTCTCGCCAAGCAGCTGGTTTTCATGGACGTTTGAGCTGATGCCATTCTCGCCAAACTGCTGGCTTTTATGAAGGTGTGAGCTCATTCCATTCGCGCCAAACAGCTGGCTTTCAAGGTTTGAGCTGATGCCATTCGCGCAACAGTGCTGGCTTTCAGGGAGGTTTGGGCTGTTCCGTGCTGTGAGAAACTGCTGGAAGGCAGAGAGGTTTGGGCTGTTGCTGTCCGCGGCGCGTGACTGCCAGTAGGCGAGGCGGTGTGGCCGGGGTCTCACGGGCTCTAAGCCTTGTCGCTGCTCCGGGCTCTGTCCCTTCAGGGCCCATCCTCGCCAGTCGTCTTTGGCCAGGATGCAGAACAGGACTGCAACAATCAGTTTAAGTTTTAGTTTTCGTAAATGTTTTACGGCACTTGCAAGACAATAAAGTCATATTGAGAACACTGAGGAACACAGGGATTGTTTAACCACCTAACTAGTTTAGTTTTAGGAAGAGTTTTACAGCACTTGCAACACAATATAGTCATATAAGAGCCAAAGATTAGAGGTGTTACAAGAGAGTAACAAAACACAAAAAAGGAGGAGAGATAAGGATGATTGATGTTTAATAGGAAAGAAGAAGCAAACTACACCAGAGCACTCATCAACCACCCACAAACAGGAGCTATCGTGAATAATAATA